TATCACCGTCGTGGATTTTTAAACTCCTTATTCACAGAGCATAGATAAGCTAAAAAAAATACATCCTGGGTTACTTTGACACTCGATTGCAAATCGCTCTATCAGCTTTTCAATTAGCAGCTTAGCAGTCGCGTAACAAACGAAGCTGGCTGATTCCAGCTAATAAATGTCACTCGAAAACCTGAGATTCGGTAGTAAATGTGTGCGCTTTATTTTCTGTAAGCAGTGCACATGGGAGTACAGGTAGTTGAACGTTTATCATTTCTTTGCAGCAGCATGAGATAGAGTAACCAGCAGGAAAGCAAATGTCCACTAAATGTGCAAGGTAATGACTACGGATGAAACTCAAACTAAAAAGTTGGTGGTTTGGCCGATGTCAAGGGTAAAAAGCGTGATTATGAACAATATGCTTAACTCGGGAATAACTGGAGTGGGTCTACTGTGCACGTACCTTCACATCTATTGGTTATGCTGTTCAGTCGATATCCGTTGCGACACGAGCAGTAATGGCCACCAGCGTAATTAACACATCTTTGTCCTGGCAGACATACAGGCGGTGACTCACTGCATTCATCTATGTCTGAAATTTTGAAAACACCAGATGCGGAACAATCTAACTTTCGGACGTTTAAACCCTTTCCATCACCGGAAGTGACAACTATGTAACTTCTCCATACACTATTAGTGCATTTCAAGTAGAAAGATGATGAGGAGAGGGGCAATCATGATTCTGGGAACACTGTTTGATTGAACTGCCAGTTCTTACAGCAAAAATCATAAAAAAGTATGACAGACATGAAGATATCAAGATCTTGTATAGGATAAGCCCCACTATACTCCGTTTTCGTTGAGTTTCAATATTTTTTAGAAACGTTTTTCATCAGTGGCTCAAGTATCGTGAAATTTACAAGTTGATGAAAACATTTGGAATTTAAGAAATCAAATACGCTGTTAATGCCTTTCGATGTAATCCAAAATGGAGGATTACTTTTCATCTTTAAAGGGATCTTTTGATATCCAAAGCGCGTTTCCCGTTGAACCTTTCCTATTCAGTTACATTAAGGCAAGTAAAACGCGATAAAATAGAACATATTTATTTTGCCATGAGTCTTTTATTTGCAAATATCTAAAATTTAGTAATATGTGACCAAATAGATGGCATTTATTTTAACAGTATCACCCTTTACCTCTACATCGATAATTGCGATCGTCGATCACCAGACATTTGTATCCCCGAGGACAGTTAACCGACGAACAAGAATTTCTACCTGTAAGACAAAATAGTGATGCAAAGAAGCAAAATGCATTTTCAAAATCTACTTGTAAAAAAAAAAAAACTGGTTACAGCATGCCCTAGATCATGGATGGAAAATTTGTATCCTCTTAAAAGGCTGAAAAAGGTTTTGTTCCAAGGTTCGATAAAAAAAGACCGGGAGAAAGGTAAATTACATCAGAAAATTTTGTCTTCAGGAGTCAACCTGACTCATTCAAATGAGGATATCTGAGCGCGTGAGTCAGACAAGCTGTCGTGTCATTCATTTAGCTTCGTCATATGTACAAATATTATCAGCGTAGTAAAGAACAAACGCAGCCAATGCTGACGCGGTGAAAATCTCTAAAAAACCAGTGGGTTGAAAAACAAGGAACTGACTTCTGACTCCTTCCTGCCGTCTAAACGCGCGCACCTCTCGCGTGATTTGCTCGTTGATATGTAAAAAGACAACAGGAGGCAAGTCAGTAGCAGTCACAAACCAACCCCCATCATGAAACAGAATTAAAACTTACGCTCGCATCTTCTTGTCTGAGAATTTCTCTGAAATCGATCTCGGCATTTGCATCGGTAACCTCCATAGTAATTCTCACAAATTTCCTGATCTCCCGGACACCTCCTTGGCAAGGTAGCGCACTCGTCAATATCTGAAAAAACGAGAGTGAGAGAGAACTTTTAAGAATTCGCCGATACAATACTCAACGTTAGACGGTCATGCTTTTTCCTTCGGCCACCGTCAGATTAGATCTTACTTAGCAACCTAGCCGCTTAACTGAGACGTAACAAAGTCTCATTTTTCTATTTTTCCATCACTTAGCGTTATGTCATGGTAATAAGGCGCAGAACTAATGATGCAAATGTTTCCTTACCCGTACAACTATACGACCTCCCAGATGGCTGACATTTCAACCCTTTGCCACAGTCGACACCTCTGCAGGAATCTGGAATTGAAAAACATTTAACTTTTAAAAACTTCCGAAATCTGCAGCAACTGGAGGAATTCTGATTATTGACTGAGCTGCTGTAAAATCGTTGAGCGTGAGCACGGGAAAAAGGAAGACAAAGGGGAAAGGGAGTGGCTTGTGGCTTTGATCATGCGCAAATAACATATTTTCCTCCCACTGGGTAAGAGAAATACTCAAACTACAAATAAAAACAGGCCAGGAATCTACCCCACGTTTATATATTGTAGAGCGCTGGAGTTTCACTAGATGTGAAAATGACTGAAGTTTTTTTTAGTCTTTGGCTAAACACCATATGTGAGAAAACTTTTGCATCTCTATTTATCACTAATCAGCGCACTTCTCACGCGTGAAACTCACGCGTGAAACGCCAAAGCAAAACTCGCGCGTAAAACCATGTGCAGTAAAGAGGGAGTGATGAGTAACCTTCACAGCAGACTTTAAAGAGGCTACGTTCGTACTGCTCCGTCAATGTTTGTAAACTTTCAGTTCTCAACTCACATTTGCTTTTCAAGTAATTCCCACTTAAAGAAAAGGGAGTGCTAAATGCGAAACACAATGGAAAGTATTATCAACAAGAAATTGATTTAACCATACCTCGACACTCGTATGAGCCTATATAGTTCATACATACTTCGCCTGCTTTGCATTTGGGAGGCGACAGTGAACATTCATCGATATCTAAAAAATAAAGCCATTATAGGTCATTTTCCAGGGTAAAATACCTCTGACTGATTTCCATTCAGCTAATTGTGCAGTGACGTGAAATTCTAAATGCAAATAGGAGAGTTTCGCCGAGCAATGGAAGGTGGAAATGGGGATGAATAGCGACGTTTGTGTTCGCAGTGAATGTTGCTCAAAACTGCAGAGGAGTAGCGTTTTCAAAAGACAATGGGCTCAACGCAAAAAAGGCTAAATTTCAATTTTTCTCTACACTACCATTATTCAGCAAACAGATGACCAAAATTTAAAAAGATCATTGTAAGCCAGTCGGTGGAATCTTGATACAACGCTGAACTCTCCTGACTAATCAACAAGGAAAGGGCTGAAATCGTCTGACCCTTTTGGCGACCTTACCTTCACAAGGCTGCCTTGGGGCATTAGGATTACAAACAAAACCACTCCCGCACTGGACTCTTTCACACAAAGAAAGCTCCTTGGCTGAAAGACAAAAACGGAATATAGACTCACACTTGTTGCGTTGGAAAATGACTGATGATCATAGTGAAGTTAATTATGGTATTTCCCCCCCTTCACAAAGCAATACACAAATAGAAATGGAAGAATGCAATAGCAGGTTAACATCGCGGTGAATGAATCTCCCTCGAAAAAGGGTTTGAATTTGCCTTTTCCGATTTTCTATGGAGAGGAGAGAGGAAGGGGGAGGGGGGTGGGGTTGATTTTGTTTATTAATCTCATAAGTTATGCCATTTGACTTATTGTATGATCCAGGACACCTGTTAATTTTGACTTTCTCTGAGCCATAAAAACTAATGGATGATCATCACTTAATCTTCACATTCTATGAGTGGAATTCCTATTTCATTCATATGAATAGAATTTAAAGACAGAAAGGAACTTTAAGTACATATCAAGGTGATTTCCCGATCCCAGGACGCTACCGTCCTTTAGGTTTGGCCGATCTGAAGGGACTGGTTCTTGCCCGGCAATAAAAACAGGAGGTGAAAAAGTCTTGTAACATAAGGAAAGCGGCCTTGGATTCAGGTATTTTCAGACTGTGAGGTTATCAGTGCATTGTATCAATTTGTAATAGGACTGAGGTTAATCAAGAATAAAGATAACTCTGTCGAAATTGCTCATCCTTGCCGTACATAGGAAGTGAGTCTGCAGGATGCCTAATATATTGTAACAAAGCTGAAAATACGTGCTTATATCGTGAGTAAACTAGGCCTAGAAACTTTTTTATTTTTGCTCTGTTTAAACATTTTACAACGCTTTTGTGAACCGAACATCGCGGCGCAAGTTCGGCGTAACTTGAAAGCAAAGCGTTAATGTTATTTCTACATGGCTTACATTGAAATCTTTGTCACGAGGTCAAATTGATATCCTTCGTCCTGTGCACGCGTGTCAAAACAATTTACAGTCATTTCTTGAGTCAATTTTTTGCTCACAGATCCCTAAAAAAACCATGATTTTTTTTCTGCGCTAAATTTGGATCCAAGTTGTTATGAGGGATTTTGAAATGGCGTAACGGTTTTTAGAGGTCTCATTTCAATTTCAGTGTAACGCCTGTCTAGTGAACGTCGCAAAGGTTTGGTATTTGAGTTGCAGGTACCAATGAATTTCTCTCTCATTCTGTTAGACTTATGTACAAAAGGGCCCACAATTGGCTGAATAAAAAAAAAATATTGCTTTAAGTCCGCCAGCTTTCCCTGTAAAGCCGATGTTTATTTTCGTAAACTGAATGAATCTTTGAGTGGCTATGAAAATCGGAGACTTGTATCAATACATAATTTAACAGAGACCGAACGCTGTTCGATCTTAATTCGTGTTGGTCAAAAGACAATTTTTTTAGTGGGTCAGATAAAGTTGGACACGTTTTAATGCAAAGAGGTTGAACCTGACGAGAGGGGTACTGAACACAGATATCTCAGACTTCAAGCAGGATATTTGCCCACAAGGATGAAAAAAAAAAAATTAGGATTGAGGCTGTAGATAAATTAATGATTACATTTATTCACTGAGACACTGAGAGGAAAGCAGTTATAATACAAATAAGCTTTTTACAGGGTGATAAGCTCGTAAGTGGAAAGTTCTTTCTCGATATTCTTCTATTTTGGAATCAAAAATTGATCAAGATAAAGTGCAGTAGGTAATATTTGATTTCTTGGCAAACATTAACGAAAAACTCTGCCAAATAACGTAAAACTTTCCATTTCTGTTTGCGGTGTTTTTTTAAGTCATTGTTCTAATTTTGGTACCCGTGTAAATCAGCTTGTGGCGAAGGATAGTTTCGCTTTTATTCATCTTAAAAAGCCTTTTATTCCCTTCATAATGAACGAGCAATTAATAAGTCGCTCTTGTCTAAATTACAAGTAAAGGCTAAAAAATTTCTCCGCCCTAAAGCTCTCAAATATTAATTCTAGAGTAAGGGGAAAATGCTTGATTAAATACCAGATATAATTTCATCCGGGAAGAAAGGTATACAAAAACTGAAATATCGAGAAATTGTTTGCCAAATTTCAATCCCGGGTGTTGGGCAAATTAGCAGTGGCTAATTACAAGTTTTTTGCTGCAATTGAAACTGTTTTCCGTAGAAATAAAAGAGAAGCCATTAGCGATATAAAACAAAACTTGATAGTAATTACCTTTAAGAATTTGCATGCAAACTACGGACAGCTGGCCAATTAGTGTCTATTCTCTTATCTTGAGAGATTAATCCTGCAAGTGCTGTTTTTTTTTTTTCGATTTTAAAAACCGCATCTAAGACGTCCTTTTAAAAGTCTCGTTAAGCCATGTGGATATCCTGATCTTTTTCGTTTTTACCATCATATTGATTAACCTCTGAAAGTAAGAAACAGGGCCGATTTTAATGACAGGAATATATGCTTGGTTAACCGTTCCATTTTTCAATTTGCTTATCGCGTTCGATAATTGCAATGGTTTTCTTTTCCCTACTCATGGATACCTGTTCTATTTGGTCTGCTCTGGCCAATAGAAAGAGTCGCGTCATTAGAGGTAATTACGAGCCGAAATAACAGTGTTTTTGTTAGGTCGCCGCCAGATATCATTAGCAATGAACACTGTTGATGACATACCGGAAGACAATGGTTTTACAAGAAATCGCTGGTTGAAAACTTCTTGTCGACATTAACTTCGCTGTATGCGCATTGAAAACCACTTTTCGTTCGAGAGAAGGGAAAGACAAATCTTGACACAGCCTGAAATCATGGGTATGTACTAAATTTATATCAAATATCTACCTGGTTTGTTCTGTACGTGATCCCACATGACAGAATGAATCGAGTAACAGGAATTAAATGTTTAAAACACGAGGTAATGTTAAGCTCGACGGCGTAAATAACTGGCGTCTCAAAGTAGACGAAGAGGAACATACCACAAAATTATTTACTGTGCATGGCATGAACAAAAACGAATAAAGACAAAAATCCTCAATCGCATAAAAAACCACACTCACTCATACTAAACATACAAATTTTTAGCTGTTTGACGTTGATGTAACCTGAGTGATTATTTTGGTAAAATTATGTTCACTTCATCTCTACCTAGCCACGGAGAACAAGAGCCTTGTAAAAACAGAGCAAAACGCTCATCTCTGCAGCGGCTGCAAAATGCCAATTACAGATCGCTACTTGTTGGAAGCTTTGGGACTTTATTGGCACGAAGGTTGTTTAAAATGCAACTGCTGTGAGTGCAAACTTGGTGATATTGGATCGACGCTTTACAATAAAGCGAACCTCATTCTCTGCAAGAGAGACTATTTAAGGTCAGTAAAGATGATTCCATTTCAAAGTTCAAAATTAACTAGTAACCAAGTGCAGCGTCGTTTTATAATGAATTTAATTGGTAGCAATGTTTTGGTCTCGCTCGCAACCACCAACGAAGTTAATCAAAACACTGTTACTTGAATACTAGTTCAAATAAAAATTAGTGTTGCACGCTGAAACACTGAGGTTAGTTTTTATACAGTTTTTGCGTTGGCAAACCGTGGCTAAACGGTTTATATCCTGAACCTGTTTTTGACTGTTCTCGCCAATAGATGAACTTTCGAACTGCATTTTATTAGCCTCCCCTAAATATTTTTTCTCAGTCTAAATGGAGCCTAGGTTAACCAAAGCGATTGAGAAAATTCCGGAACACTTAACTTCTATGAATCGAGGACATTGATGACTCTGGTTCTTAATTGAATGACGTTGATTGCTCCTATTTAAAACAGATATCAAAGATGAGATCGCTTCCACTTGCCGGTTGGCTCACAGGGGTGTGGCAATGTAAAGGGCTTAGACCACGTTTTGAAACCATTATTCAGACAAGAGTCAGCTCACCGATAGGACTTCTTAAATTTAATATGGATCTAGAGATATGTCCTTTACCATATTAGGGAAAAGAGTGATTATTGAAAAGAAGAAATTAAACAATAACTGTCTCAGCTGGTACCGAACCGTTTTTAGAGAAGAAAAGAAGTCTACTTAAATTCTGACATCAGAATTCATACCAGCATATGAAATGTTAGTGTTTAAGTGAAATTTTTGAGACAAAGAGCGATGACTGAGGACGATAGCCGAATGGGCTACAATTTGTAACTGAAACAGAAAGGTTCTTATATTAATATAGTTCTCTTTTGAGAAGAACAGCAAAACAAAACAAAACAAACAAAAAAAACACGTCACTTCATTCGGAGAAACTGTGGTCGCATAACCGAGCGCGAAGCCACAGTTTTCAAACCTTGTGTTTCAAGTCGTTCTTCGCTGGTTCAACATTTCCTCGTTTTTTTCCCTTAAAACCCGCTGAGTATTAATGTAAGGTCGCCTTGCAAAAAAACTCAGTTTAGCACAGCCTTAAACTAACTCAATATTGTGACAGGAATTCTCAACTACATAACATGTTTTCATCACCCCTAACATGAAATTGAAACATACTGTGTCTAGTGGGTCAAATAACAACGTAGAGGATACTCTTTCGGCCCTGATTAACAATTATAGTTACCGATATTGTTCTGCCTACAGGTTGTTTGGTGTCCCCGGTGTGTGCGCTGCATGTAACAAGCCAATAGCAGCCTTCGAATTTGTAATGAGGGCCGCGAAAAACGCATATCACATCGAGTGCTTCTCCTGTCAGATTTGCAGACAGAGGTTCAGAGTTGGAGAAAACTTCCATTTTTACAACAACAAAGTCCTTTGCTGGGATCACTACCGAATGGAGAAAGAGGAAGAAAGTATTGCAGAAAATACAGCATAAGAAACAAGAGTTGGGCAAGGGAGTTTTCCTTGCTTTAAGCAGTTACAGCACAGTTTTTCGAACGATTTTGTTATATGAAGAAAATTCAGTGTACATAGAAGAAGACTAAAAAATAATCCTTGTAAATAAACACCTAAGAGGTGAGAATATACCAAAAAAGATGATAAACAATGATTGCGAAGATCGGGGAAGATTGAAAATAATTAACTTCAAACATTTAAGCTAATTATTTCGAAATTGAAAAAATATGATGTAGCGTCTTTAATCTTAAAATTAAAAGACAATGATAAAAATAGTTTCAATGCCTCGATAGGCGTTCTCGTGCTGGCTTAAACCAGAAAGTTTTTATTAGTCCATAAAGAAAAAGTGTTAAACCACAAAAAATGTATTTGCAGGTTTGAGCTGATGAGGACAATGTCGCGAAAATGAGCTCAAAATTACGCGCTAAAAACCCGCTTCGGTGTTTGTATAGATATTTCAGAAAGACAAATGGAAATAATTTCGAATAGGGTAATAACGAAAAGTGATGATAACACGATAATCAAAGAAAGAGTATTTATCCACAGATTAGAGACAATGCTGGAAAACTTTTAAAGGAAACTTAATAAATTCATGTCATGAAAATTGGGATCATTAGTACAGAATGTCTTTTGGGGGGACTGGCTCTCTTAATCCTGTTTTCTTACGGCGCTAAATTTTTTGTTTCTTCTCACCGACGCATGATATGGCGTTTAAAAAAAGGTTAAAAACACAGAAAGGAGCGTTCCTTCCAAGTAGTTTCGATAGCGCTATTTGTATAGGTAATCACATGATTTCGAGTGCAATTTGGAATAAATAAGCACGAGTAAATTTTTTTAAAGACTAACAAAATTGCACGAGCCCGTAGGGCGAGTGCAATTTGTGGTCTTTGAAAAAATTAACAAGTGCTTGTTTATTCCAAATTGCACGAGAAAAATCATGTGATTACGTGTTAATAATATACATTGAAAAATACGAGATGGCTTATCATAATTAAATATAAGCAAAGCGCGCGCATCAAGTGCAAAAAATAATTTATTCAAACCGTGCGTTCGGTCAAAACAACCGCGTAGGATCAAAACAATAATAGGCAATGATATCTTCACATCTTTAAGGTGCAAGAAAGTTCAAAGTCCGACTAAACAGTTCAAGGAATAGTTCAGTCTGTGTCCGAAGCACTTTCGATGAAATGGAATCGTCGTTTCCGAAGTTTAACTATGACTGTTTTTAATTTCGGCGTTGGATCGCTCGAGCAAAGTGTTAAGCTGGGTCGGCTCGTAATTTTCGATTTCCTTGGCAATTCCCTTCTCTAAATACTACTTTTCCCAAACTGACAACCAAAAAGCAGTGCTTTTTACAGTGTTTTTGTTGTTTAAGCTGTTTTTCAGCTGCGGTGGCGAAAGAAAACCTACTTAGAACGCCGGCCATTGTTTCGCTCGCAAATTTTCAAATTTTCAAATTTTGTTGCGCCATCCAAGGCTCGCATTTGATTGGCTATATGTGAGTTTCTTTGATTATTGACCAATCAGAATGTCTGATTTGTTAATTTCTTTGCACTGAATTAACCCTCTTCTGCACTGAATTAACTCTCTTCTACACTGAATTACCTGAAAACTGCATTTATCTTAACCAATCAGAACTGAGTAATTTTTCCATGTATATTATTAAGTCTGAAATCATACGAGTGATTTCAAAATTGAACGAGCGCGCAGGGCGAGTTTGATTTGAAATCACAAGTGTGATTTCAGACCGAAAAATGCACGAAATGAAATTAAATTACCATTCCATTGCATCTATTTAGGAATCACAAAACGCAGCCGCTCAAATAAAGGATTGTTTAAGTCTGATCAAATATTTGATGTTAAGCCGGTGCTAAGCTGGTTTGTAAAAAGTTGCAGAAGTTGTCTTTCATTTTCATTTTTTTAAATTGGTTACTTCAAACAAGCCTTGAAATGTGATTGGTTGATGTGTTGTCAATAAAGGTTAGGGAAAGGATGCGATTGGGAGCAAAAAATGTGCGATTCGTGAATAAATCGCACCGATGATAGCCAATCAGTTTGCAAAGATCACCAGTGATTTCAAAAAGGATGTAATTAATGTGAAAACATCCTGTATACAAAGATGGGCAACATCATATTATTATCTAGTAAGAGTGTTATGGTATATGAAACGCCTCTTAATTGATTGTTCAAAAGGGTCACCGTTTACTTACAATAATGATAACAGTTACAGCTTACGTTTGCATGTTCCGTTAGCAGTGAGTACTTGGTCTGATCTGCATACAACAGTGATCCTGGTACACTTGTAAGATCCGTCCGTGTTCTCGCACCTCGTACCCTGGGCACAGGAAGGTTTGCCGGATGAACATTCATCGATATCTAAAAGTATAAACATAAGTTATCGTCAGAAATAGAAATGTGCAAAGGAGAGTTAAAGTCCGCTGGCGAGAACTGATGCATGGCCGACGAAGCTTATCCCAGTCTTAACAGCGAGGATGAACAAACCAATAGCATGGGTTACCTTCTTCCCCTGGTAGGATGTTGCACCATGGAAGGTAGCTTCGTATCCAGACCTCCCGTTTAACTCTGCCCGTGAAAGGTCTGGGTACGAGACTTTATGGAAGGTTATCGCGCTCCGCTCCCCTAGTCATTTTGAATGGCTTCGTTCATTGTCTAATGGTACCCAGTTATAGTTTTGGGTGAAGTAAGGCACAACACAAGTAAAAGTGACGATTCTGTAATGATTAAATAATTTAAGGGAAGTAGGAGCTAAACGTGGGACTGAATGTCAACTTGAACATCTTACCCTCGCACTTGTTATTGAGTAACTGCCGCCCTTTTTCACACTGACATCGATAAGACCCTTGATTGTTGACACAGCTTGAGTACTGAGGGCATCGGGCCTCTCTTGTGCTGCACTCGTCCTTGTCTATGGATTTTAATAGAAACATGTAACATCTGATTGCTGTGAGTGAACTCGCTCATAAGTCTTCTTTAGTATATCACCATTTTCATTTTGGGCTAATCCGTGTCATTTACATAAATCGTAATAGTTTCATTGGGTCACACTTCATATGGTTTAATGTTTCGCGTAACATGGAGGCACTTTTTGAGGTAAAATTCAAATGAGGTTATGTTCAGACATGCCACATCATTAATTGTTTGTCACCTCATGTCATCGTGGTTATTTCATTTCTATTCGTGCGCGTCACTCCTTTCAGTTCGCGTTACATTGGGTCAGTTTTCATCACTGACCGATATGTTTTGAGGGAGTTCGTATCATCAAATACAAATCATAGTAATAAATGCTGATACCACGTTAAAATTCGTCTACCCTGCGTTTTTCACTAAGCTTCTTCAAATTGAGTAGGCTTCCAGTGAACGCCCTATAGCCATGTTCAACAAAAGTACCTGGATTACTGAGCACATCCACCATATTTCAATTATAATTTCTTGATTTAAGACTACTGACCGATGCATGATGTCCCAGAAGCTTGGAAACCATTCCTGCAGGTACAAACGTAAGATCCATCATTGTTAACACAGGTCTGCTGTGCTCCACAGCGATGAAGTCCACGCACACATTCGTCTATATCTGTCCATCAAAGAATAATATACAGTTAAAAAACACTTCCATCTCAATTGAGCAGGTTTGATATCTCGTGAGTATTACGATTGGTGTATGACTTACAAAAACGCATGTGCAGGAAGTCGAAAATGATGTCTAAACTGCGCCACATCGAAACTTTTCACATGCACGCCTAAAAATTGTGGCAGAAGTTTGGACGAAGTTCTTAACATTACAGGTGCGAAAGGCAGAACGTACTTCGGTGTTTGCTTCTCAAGTTACTTAAGTAAACGATATTACCCAGTTAAAAAAGAGGCTCGACACGTTATTTTCCAACGATTAAACTGTTCTCTGCGGGATATCTGATATCTTTTAGTTGCGGAAGGGGGCAAACACGTTAAACATAGTAATTCTCCTAAGATATCTATAATATGTAGAAAAAAAATTCGATGGGAATAAAGAAACAGTTCCTTTTTAACTAGAGGGTGTTATCTTGGAGAGAGTTGAAATACCGTTCTGGGGAGCTTCAGAGAACCTGTGTAAATAATTCAGCTACCAAAGAACCTGCTTCAGCAAGTTTCGTTTGACATAAAATTAGACAATAGACAAGATAGCAAGTAAACAAGACAGGGTGACCTCGAAGTCCGTTATACTACTTGGAGAGTGTACGCTCTGCGAAGAGACAACTAGCTTCTATCGTTTCACAGAAGAAAAATAACACTCACCTACACAACTTCCATCCACTAGTTGTTCCCCCAGTTTACACGCTGCCTCCGTTGTTCCCTTCTCACAACGATAACTGCCAGGAGTGTTGATGCACCGTTCTAAAGGACTGCATGTATTACCACCTCTTAACTTACACTCGTTGATGTCTTTAAGAAAAGGAAAGTTGTTGGTATACTCAGTGAGTGGTTTGAACTTGGGGGTTCTTATCTTGCATCATTAAGATTTAATGGGGCGAAGTGGTCATGACAGGTAAACTGCCCAAATAAGGCATGGGTATGTTTTGAAAATACGAAAACAAGTTCTGAACAAGCTTTCGCCCCTCCTTTTGGAGCCTGTGTGTAGCTTGCAGCAGTTACAAAAGCCAGATTCACCTGCAGAATGGATACAGAATACACAAAGTCCAAATAAAAGTTCAATAAGACTGCGGCCTTGCCTTGACAAGATACTTTGTCAGGTTTCAGGAGGTATCCATCTCGACAGGTACATTGTGCCCCTTGTGTGGGTGAATCTTGGCATTCCTGTTGACAGAAATTGTCGGAGCACTTCGGCTTTCTGGCGGTTGGAAGGACCGTAGGGAGAGATATCGTTCCTGAGGAGGGAACATTCACCTTTTCATCAGCCTTTAATATAAATAAACAGACACCATCGCCAATGCTTATCTTAACAGTGCGCAGGGCGCTTGGCGTCAGTATATGAATCTTGTATAAGGCCTAGCTCAACGAGTTCACCAAGTTATCTGTAACTTGACTCAGTTGGAAGAGGAAAAAGAGGCTATAGAAATTTTCTGGGCTTCGAATTCTAGGGCGTATCCCTGGCTCATGCAATCGTCTCAAGTATTCTGATCCAGACTGTAGAAATGATAAAAAATGACAAAATTCTCGAGCTTGAAAGGGCATCTGAAGCCGAGCTGCCCACTTTTGCCACTAGTGGACAGTACAAGGCTCATGCGCGTGTAATTTTACAGTACACGTCACTTGCGCGCGCTGTTATCGAGATCAGTGGGTACACTTTCTCGTGGAAAAAAAATTCAAACGTCATGTTTCATTTATGAATAAGTTAATTCGGTTAGCATTTTATCTCTAAAAGTTTGTTATAGTTGACTTAATTGGTAACGGGACTGAATGTCGTCCAGTTCTCTCTATATTTATACTCGTGAGTAACAAATCGAGTACCCGCTTAGTCATCGTTCGATTCTGATAATCGCGAAAGAGATGATTACAGGTCGAATTGGACCTTACTCTGTCCCAACATAATTATCTGCGGGTA